TGTTTTGCAGGGGAATCCAATTTTACTGGGAACCCATTCTTGAGCTGATTAACAATTGCCAGCAGGGCAGAAGCGCACGTGTTTTGCAGGGGAATCCAATTTTACTGGGAACCCATTCTTGAGCTGATTAACAATTGCCAGCAGGGCAGAAGCGCACGTGTCTTGCCAGGGAACCCATTTTGAGCCGGAAAAAATTTGCCAGCAGGGCAGAAGCGCACGTGCTTTGCAGGGGAAACCCATGTTTTTTTAATGAAATAAATAGGCCCGCATAGACAGACCGGGGAGAGTGTGTGATAGGTTTCGTCGGGATACCTATTGTTTTCTCGGGAGCGCGCTTGGACATCCTACCCGGTGAGCCAAGAAAGACTTTTACGAACGATTTTACGAGCTATAGTGTGTGGCGTAGTATTTCCAGGGGGTATTCCCAAGTGGTGACCTTATTTTTTTTAGAAGGTTTGTGTTGTGTTATTAATTATAAAGTTACCACCCATTATGAATCCGACCAATAATGAGATTCACCGTTCTGGTGGGGACAACCTAGCGCTACAGGGGATTACGGTGGTGAAACCTAGTTCACCCACCAACTCTAATTCAACTACCTATATGGACCAAATCAACGCAACACCACCTTTAGCGCGTATAATAGCATCGAGTTTGTCCGGGGGCTGCACGAATGTGGTCTGATGGTATTTTACCCCATTCTCAGCGAAGAACAATCTTTAACGAGTCGACCGTCTCATATTTTTTGCAGATCCTTAGACCTCCAGAATGGACCATATGAAAAAATCTATTGGGTTGAAGTCGGGGGAATATGGTGGCGATTGTTGTGCAGAAATGAATCTGGGAACCTTTTGGGAATTGTCAACTGGCCCAAAGAAGCAAAGCATCGTTCAGAATATTTCACGGTAGATTTTTTATTTATCTTTACGCTCTGTTTAATAAAAACGATTTGTGAGCGTCCTGTGCAACTATCACTGATGCAAACCCTTGCTTTCGCAGAGCAATTCACTGTTCTAAATTGTCCCTTGATTTGTGCTCTAACCGAATACGATCGTTTTGCTTGTATATCGCTGAACCGTAAACATTTTTCCATCAGAAAAGCAATGAATCTCACCATTAACGTGCAAGTGTTTTAACACCTTTGCTCTTGCGAGGCGAACTGCCTTTTGTGCAGGTGATAAATCTTGAACTTTTGGTATTTTGTAGGGCTTCAATCGTAGTTCATTTTTTAATATTCGCCCCATGCTTCCAGCAGACGTATTGAGACTTTTCGCCCATTTAACTGCGCTTTGTCGCGGATTACGCTGGATTCTAGCCTTCACCTTCCGTACCAATTCTCGCGAAATGCTGTTTAATATGAATGAAAAATATCGTTGGTCGACGTAAACCTGGCACAAATGGGGGGATTTTACTTGTTGACCTTTTGGTCCTCCGATCAGAAAGATCTTTGCTTCTCAAGTCTCTTTCTTCATTCCTAGGGGCTTTGTTAGATTTGGAATCCATCCCGATTCCCTTGTTAAAGCCCTTTCCAGACTAGGGAACAATTCCGAAAAGAAACAGCACCTTTTTTCTAGAAAATTTCCTAGCACCGGCGATTGGACAGCACATTATCATTTCAGGTCAATATCTTGCTATTAATTACCGTTTACCCATGTTGTTGATTTAAAGAAATAGTACCAATGAATTTGTTTGCATATTATATATGGGAATAAGTAAACAAGGTAAGCAAACACTGACTGATGGTCATCACCAATTATTCGATAAACAAATTGAAAATTGCCCCTGCTTTCGACCGTGCGACTGTTATTACCAGTTGAGTACCTAACCCGTATGGTACTTAGGTACTCCAATAGCATATTCAGATCGCTACGGCAAGCTTTTACCTTCCAATTTTCGAGCGACGAGTATCTAGCAGACGGTCGCGAGTAAAATTTTTAGCAGTGATCATTTCTTATTACTTTCATTCAAAACATTTGCCGGCAAACGATCGAAACAGACAACTCAAATAAACCGTGAAAGTTTTTATTCAGTGAATGTTTGTGGTTTTTCTATAGATATTTTTGGTAAGTTTTTGGCTAGTCTTCGCCAGCAAAGCTGCATTTTACAAACTTAGAATAACATAGCTTGACTTATTTGAAACAGACGCGTTTATTTGTCAAATTAAATCTCCGAAATTGTGCGTGGTTTTCATGCAGTTCTTTTTCATTAACCAAACAGCTTAAGCATTAAAAATTCATTAAAAATCAAAGAAATAGCCAGCTACAAATACGTACTAATAAACTCCCAACCCTTGAATGAATGATGGCAAAATGACTTTGTTAATAAAGGATGCTTAATAGCAAAGGAACATTTTAAATAATTATAACCGCTCAAAGCCGATGATTGTTGAACGTCCGATAGATCAATGGCCAATGACAAAAACGTTATTTAATAATAATTATTTAATTAATTATTAAACAGGGCCAATAGACTTTGAGAAATGGGAAAGAAGGAATTCAATATCAGGCTACAGTTGTGAAGGGTAACTGTTTTAAAGGTCACAACAATCGGAACGAAATTTTCATTTATCTTCCTGTGATATGTGATGCGGAAAACAAAGCCGGACTATTTCCGGGTATCTGTATAGTCCTCAAATTGTGCATTCGTGTAAAAATTGGCCAGAAAAAGCGACGCGGGTAATAACAGAGCCTTAGGGCAAGCTTAAGGATGCGTTTAAAACAGTTACACAACTCGCCTTCGCCTATAAAAAAACCGTCCGCAAAAGGAAGTTTCAAAAGCGCAATAAAAATTAATGAATGTGAAAAGCAGCTAAATGAAGATTTCAAGGTCCATTACAGTCGGATTCTTCTTTAATATAATAGTTGTTAATAGAGAGGCTGCACAGATGAAAACATGTAGGAACAGGACGCTAAAGCAACTTTTAAATCAAATTTAACGTTTTAACCTGAAGAAGGTTACTAGGATATGACAAGCCGGGCTCTACTTAGCGGTCTCTCCGTTCGAATGCCGGTGAATATTTAATAGAATATTATATAACTTGATGCAATAAATGAAATTGAAATGTTGACAGATTCGCAAAAAGTTTATAACATATTTATAAATGCACTACCGTGACTGGAATGTATCCCATTATCTATATTTAGTTCAATATCGATAACAAACAATTGTACCTTCCCCCAAACTACCAGGAGAAAGTCACTTTGATTCTAATCTTGCAACCTAAAATTAATGGTATTACTTTCATTTAAATCTAATATAAACTGGTGGCATCTTGAATGCTGATTAGTCAATCAATGTCTAAATAATGACTAAACTGGCTCACGCACTGTACTGTACGATTAGGGGGACAGTGGAACGGAATTTGTAATTTCAGTTTTGACAAAAAGAAGAAATTCAAATTTAATTTAAACGTTCTCAGAATGTAGAGTTGGACGCGATTATCGTTATTATAAAATTTTATTTATTGTTGAACTGCACTTGTTCGAGTTCCTTGAACTCAGTTATTAAAAAAACTGTAATCATTATCTCTCTCACTAAGAGAGTTCTAATCTGTCTAACAATATAAACCCAATTATGATACTAGCAGAAAACTAACACAAACACATGTTGTGTGTAAAAAATGGATTACCTATGTACATAGGTAATCCATTTTTCTGCCAACCAGACATAAAATGCAACATTCCATTGTTTTGTTTCATCATTGTTTAAGTTTTCATAATCTCGATCTAATTAGAAAGAAAAAGCTCCCCAGCGGTCACATGTTGAACTCTACTACCAACAAGTAGATACAAGAAACCGAAAATGTGATAGGCAAGTGAGAAAAGTAAAAAAAACCTTACAATCAAAAATGAAACGACACAGAAAAATGCGCTTTTCAAAAGAATATATTAGTTCTTTCGCGGCACTCGTTTGGTTGGTCGTCGATTTTCGGGTTACTGGTCGTTGATAGGAATCCTTAAGTTCTGACGTTTCGCTAGCACGTAAGGCTAGCATCTTCAGATGTGTGTTCAGCCAGAGCACGAATTCTCCAAATGATTGTTTCGGGTTATTAGGGTGTCGTCGATAACAATTTGGTCCTGACGTTTCGCAAGCACGCATTTCGCCTCTTCAGAAATGTGTTAAACACCGACCAGAACGCATGCGAAAAATTTTCGATTATAATTCAATAATGTCAAACATTGTTAATCGAATTTTGCAGAAAATGACGATAATTGTTGCATAAGCCATAAAATAAAGAGAAACTTGAAGCTCATTTAAAGATGGAAGAGAAGGCCATCAACGTTCGGAAACAAGGCTATATCACAAATTAGCAAAGCAAAATCAAATATTTTTCAAAAAATCCCGATACACACAGCTGATGCCTTTCTAAAACCCCGCAAACATGAATATTATATATAAATCTGTGTACGAAATATGCGCATCTTAGACAGATGGAATAAGATTGAATTGCAACTGGTCATTTCACATTTACGCTTAAAACACCAGTTAATTACCCTTAATAGATCGGCATTGATTTTAACAATATATGGAGTTTTAATGATTTGTTGTTATGTAACTGACCATGGTCAATCTCGCATTCGCTTCCAGGCATACCAACGAGGTAATTAATCCGCGAGAAAGCAAAATTTTGCATATTTCTTGCCACGTAAATATATAATGGCTTGAAGATGCGAATGAAAACTCTTTAGCGCCAAACTGTGAGTTGAAACCAGCGTTATAAATATAAACTAAATTGGCAGATTTAATTGCGATGTCCGAGACACCATATCGAATTACCGATGGAAATAGTTCAACTTTTTTTTTCGTGGGAATTTTTTTAATCTAGTTTGATTGCAAATTAATTATCCATTTTGAGCAGTATGTCATGCCAAAGGTACTATTTTGCGCTTCCTTTGCAATAACAATAGTGGACCAAGGCTAACGATTAGGCACACTAGAACAATCAAAGTCCTGTTAGATCGAATATTTCATTTGCCAAATATTATTGGATTCAACATAGAAAGTTTCCGGTGTGTTTCAAATAGCCTAATAATTAATGAGCATAGCTAATGTTCTGCAGCTCTCTTTACTCTTTTTTCATATTTATTTACGCGTGCTCACTGTATATTGAGTACAATTTTCATATAATTTAAATGACCTCTAACTACATTTAATAAAAGAAAATGTGTTAAAGTCGATGCTTACAAAATAAAGGAAGTAATTACTCGCACGACATATAAATTAGCAGCATATTAAAGCATTCCTCGTATGGAATTCCAATTGTCCACGTGCAATTTCTTTGAATGAACCAAACTTATTAAGCGCAATTCATCAGCGTCTCTGCATTTTTTTTTTTGAATAAATTTTGACCGTTAGACATGCATCATGCAAGAAATCACTAATCATCTAATTAACGGAAATTAGTAAACACGCAAATTCTCGTCAATTGAAGCAAATTAGGCAACTGTCGTCATTAACCAATATGCTGATTACCCTTCAAATTAAGGAAATATTCGATTGTCTGCGAATTGAAAAATAGCACAGGCATATGCTAAGTGTGTTGAGCAATTAATATTATTTTAATTGATCCAGCTGAATACGGAATCTCGACCTAATGGTCAAAGGTTTTAAGGCGCAAAATTCTTTTTAAACACTTGGTAATGAAGGAGCAAACATTTACAATAATAATTAATGAAATCCCTGGCAAATCGGCTTCCGAAAGCATGTAAAATGTTTCTTCATTTTTAGTACATGTCAATTTTCACACAGATGTTAAATTTGCAAGTTAATGCTAATCAGCAGCCAGTAGATATCAATTCTTCTGCATGCACATTTCAAATAACATCTCACAAGTGACAGAAAATTTGTGAATTGAACAGGTAAGGTCACAATTAATGAATAAGGCCGAAAAAGCCCAACATTAGATTTATTACCGGCAAATTTAAATGAGGCTGATGTAAAGTTCAACGTGTTGGGGAAATACGCGCACAGAATTCTATGGGGAATTTCTGATGCCTTACATTATCCGAACTTGAAATCGCGCTAACACCAAAACCTGTTTTATAACAAATTGATATGTCCAAAGTAGAATATAAGACCGGTCAACGGCGGGTAAATATCCGAAAGCTCTCTTGGAATTCACAATTTTAAATGAGCATAACTAGAAAGACTGGCCGTAGTTTCGAGTTGGGTACTGCAAGCCGCAGGGAATTGCAAATTTAAGTAATAGAGGATTAAAAAGATCGGGACAACCGGCTTAAGAAGTCTTAAAAAATATTTATTTTTCTGTTGCAGGATTAATGGATCAATAAGCGCAAAGTGCCAGCATCAAAATGAATAAATACGTAAAACTATTCTTTCATAGAATCCTGAAGGATTTCAAGCAACGCGAACTGCTGCCATTAAAACTGCTGTTTTTCATGCACTCGTCCAGTGAGTGAAATTTCCAGCAGTTCAAGGTTTTTCATTAATTTAATTTATTTTAGCCATACTCGTTTTATACCCCTATTTGACGATTCATATGAGAGAACTTGGTATAAATGTTGAGGAAACTGCAATAATGTCGGCTGTTACACCCGCAGTCGCAATTTTGATGCCTCCTCTGGCTGGAATGATTGCTGATAAAATCGGGAATTTCCGGGTAAGGGTCTAGGTTTATTAGCCAGTAGATGTAGCGATTATAGTAATATATATAATAATTTGCTTAGGTGCTACTGGCCTTTTTCTCCATTACGGGTGGAGCTTCCGCGTTGCTTTTGCTACTGGTTCCAGTGGGAAGAATCACAATAACCTTTCCGACTGATGTGATATTTGGCATGTCGTGCTTACCGAGCCACCCTTTGATGTTGACTGTGAACCAAGACTACCCTTGCAACCCCGTCAATTCAAAAAATAATCTTCTTGACGCTGAACTCAGATTAAGATCATGTGGATACGCTTGCCAGGCCATTTTGAATGAAAATTATTCTAGTGAAGTACTGAAAACTAGAATGTATGAAATCCAGATGCTGGATGTGGAAAACAACTCGACGCTCACATACACTTATACTTTGGATGCAGTTGATGTGCACGAGCCGCAGCTTATTTCCAACACCAGAAACTCGAAAACGTTGAAGCACAATGAAAGATACGAAACGTCGATAAGGAAGATATCGAAAAACTCCATCTTCTTTCCCGCTCACTCGCTCTTTAACTTCTCATGTGATATCGGTGGAGAGGAGAAGGTGTCTTGCATGATGGGCTATGGTGATCACTTTAAAAGTTTCGTTAGCATGGGCCCTCAATTTAAAGCAAACTTATCGCAACAGGTGTTAACTGATGACGATTTAGAGGAACATCGCCGAACCTTTTTATTCGACAGCATCGAAAGCAAACAGAATATCCAGTGCCTAGAGAATGAATCGTTGAAGAATAAACACATTACCATTACAATTCCCATTAACAACACAGAATCAAAAGTGCAGCATTTAGATCTGGGAAGTTGTCAGAGAAAGTGTCTTCTAACCAGCCCTAGGAGACAGATCTGTTCAAACCAAAAAACTGTCGTCGAAATGGACATGCAGTTAACATTTTGGTCATATTTAGCCATTCGAGTGTTTATAGGCATAGTGAGCGGTACTTCGTTTGCAATGTTTGAGGGCGCCGTTATAGCCATTCTTCGGGAACATAAAGCTGATTATGGGTTACAAAGAATTTATGCCACCATTGGTGGAATGATCAGCTCCCCACTCTCTGGATGGATGATTGACTTTGCAAGCAAAGGCAAGGGCTACACAGATTTTCGGTGAGCTTGAAATTCCCATGCGCTTTGATCAACTAATAACAATTGATTTTTACATTTGGGAATGTTTTCCGGGCTTTGAAGCCGTTGTCTATCGGAATTTCTTCCTGACGTTTCGTCCACAACTGCGGTGGACATTTTCAAAGGCGATGAGGCAGTGGGCGAAGTGATCTCCCGTGCTTTC